TTGTAAGGGTCTGCCCCTCGATGTCCCGCGTCGTGGAGGTGCAGGGGTGGGAGTCGGCAGCGGTTGGGCGGGCGGGCGCACCTGGTTGCCGAAATCTTCATAGTCAGATGCATTAGCCGCCGCCAACCGTGCTTCATTCCGATCACGAGTCGCTCTCTTTCTCGGACGAAACATTGACCTTCCGGCGGGAGGTCCGGAAATGTCGTCCGCAGGAGTGCGAGGAGGGGTGCTTTGCCTTGGTCGCGCTTGGTCAATGAAACGTTATCCGGCTGTGTGGACACTCAATCCCAATCCTATTCCCAATACCCTGTTTATAAGACAGCAAAAATTTCTTATTTGTTAAAGTAAATACGTTCAAAAGGTCATGAATTTGGTCAAAACAGCCTATTTTTATTGCATTGAAATGAAAAATTAACACTTTAAAATATTAGAAAAAAACTGAAAAAAAAGGTTTGACCACTTAAAATGGAATTCCCCTTTTATTTCTCCAGAACAACTTTATATTCCACATTTAAAAAGAAATGCATGTTCACTGCAAAATCGAATGAGATATCAACAGGAGTGTCAACATTTTTTAATAAATACTTCACTGCTTTCATTTGAAAGAAAACGTGATAAATGTCTGACCAAGGGTTACAGATTTAATGATGTCAACATTATCTTATCATCCGCTGTATTTAATGCCATTTAGAGATGAGCTAGACCACAGTTGGTGGTACCCTGCACTTTTACATGCTCTAAGGAGTCTTAAGGACCAAGAAAAAAAACTGCATCCAAATGGTTTTGCATACTTGTGCTCTACTGCAGTCTGCTTTAAATTCATTATCTCCTTCAATGATATGACATTACACTTGAAAAGAAATCTTCAAGAACGATATTCTTATAAAACACTGACAGGATAAACACTCTTAAGTCACTGAATCTGTTTTTAGTTTTCTTACATCAAAGAAAATATTACCTTTACATCATAAAAATAAATGTCACAAACTACTATAGTATGTAGAGTCAAAAATAATCACTTTTTGTCGGTGAATGTGTGGTGGGAAGACTTATATGATGAAATTATGTGAGACCTCAGTGCATCAACCTATGTCACTGCAGTGCCTCTGACCAGAAGGTTCTAGGGTTCAAGTCCCAGCAAAGGTAGGATTTTTCGAGACAAAGCATAAATAGCTAGAGAGCTAGGTCGAATTCATCAGCTGTCTGCAGAAGAATTCCAGCGGCCAGCTGCTCTAATTGGTAGTTTTCCATGTTTTTTCCGATGAACACCAGATGAAAGCCGGAATAGTACCCTAAGGAACGGGCCATGGATCACACGCTCTCTTTCCTTTCCCTTCCTAGTCCTGTCCTCACACTTAACTTACATACACATACACATAACACTACTACACTTGTCATGAGACCAGTCAGAATCTGAGAGCTTGTGCTGGACATGGGGATAGCTTGCTGGTGGGAGATACCTGGATGGGGAAAACCTGCAGCTGCCACGTACATTGGCACCTCATCTTGCTATCCTGCAGGACAAAATAACAGCTATCTCTCACTATAAAAATAAATTACAATCAATCAATGACATTACACGGGATCAAATTTTATCATCGCACCCCTGATTGGTGGCAACTCTTCCAACATTAGTTTGGCAGGTATATGTACACTCAAGAGACAAACTGCTCACAAATAAAAAAACACTCATTTTATCTTTATTGTTCACGTTTTACTAAATAATTTTCTCGATCTGAGGTTTGATGTCAGTCAATGCTGAATAATAAAGTTACTTGTATGGTTTATCAAATTATACAATAAAGATTAAAACCTTGATATTGTCATTGCCAGTGGGTGGTGTTCTCTAACACTTCATTTTCTTGCCAAACATTAATGCAAAATCAGACGACTTCCAAACAGGGCGCAATGTCAAAATTGGATCATGTGTATCTTTGTCATAAATGATTTCCCACATGTTCTTTGACAAAAAGTGATTATCATCGACCTCCCTACGTTCCGTAGAAGACTGTGACATTTCTTCTGAGGAACATCTATCAAAACATTATAACTTTTATCAAACAATTTTATATACCAGTCATAAATAAAAATGGAACGATATTACAATAAGACTTCGAACGGTGGCAAGCAACGAGGGGGAAGCAGGGAGCTCTGCCCTTTTTGGGGGATACAATTTTTTGGCTATCTCCTACCTCTGTTAAACATTGCATGAATATGGGCAAAATACTCCTTTCGCTAATGTTTTGTGTAATTTATGTAATCTTGAAATTATACATTCTAGTTGTTCAAGGGAAAGGGTGATAAGACAGCAACAACAATCTGGACTAGCTTAGACACTGGTCACAAGGATCTCTAGTGTAGCAATTTTAATAAACATTCAATAAGTGGAAGGAAGAAGAACAGGAAAAATAATTGAGAAGTGAAGAAAATACGAAAGTAGAAGTGAGTAAGTATATTATTGTGAGTAACCAAACTATGCATATCTAATAATTATAAACAATTGAATTCTTACACACTTATCAGGGACCTACAAACACCAAAATATTATTTAAGTTAATCTGTTTTTGTAAGATGTTAAAATTGAAATGTGAACATGCCATTTCTTTAAACAAGAGTGTGCATTCTTGCTAAGCAATGCTAAGAAAGAAGAAAAATTAAAGAAAAAATAAACAACAGGGGATATAAATCATAAATACCAGGGTTTTTTTAAAAGCACATTTAACATAATACATAATGTTTACTGACCTTTCAGGTATGTTATCTGGTATTTTAATATCATTTGACAATTTATGTATTATTTTAACTTTGTCAATAGCATTATTTCTCTCAAAAACCTGTCTTGAAATATTTATCATAGTTTCATTGCTATCACATGCATACACATTTTGTGCTCCAGCCTCAATTGCAAACAAACTGGAATCAAAACATTGTTTTTTGTTGTTTTTTTTTTGTTACAAACACTCACTGTCAAAACAGGTTTCAATAATTTAGGTAATGACCTTTGCATAAAAATTCACCCTACCTGAGTATTCCGGTTCCTGTTCCTATATCAAGAACACAATCAAATCCTTTTTTAATCTTCTTAATTATAGCTTCTCTAAAACCATTATTTCTAATGTTATCATTTAACATTCGAAAATGCCACCTTTCAACCATGTAACTGCGTACTGTTTCAAGGTTTCGTTGTGCAGGAAGATAGTTACTATTGACCTTAAGAGATTCATGAAAATACTCTGAAGCTTTTTCCATGTAGCCAGCTCTGGAAGAAAGCATTCTTATAACAACATTGAGAAAAAGAATGATGAGGTGAAATTAAAAAAAAAAAAAAAAAAGTACTTTCATTCTGTAAGAGGAGTACTTAAATTTCTTAAATTGTAAATAACAAGAAATAATATTTTTCTTTGAATGACCTTCTCTAAATAGTGTTAATGTAATGTTAAAATGTCTCAAACATTTCTATGACAGACTCTTAGTACGCAGGTAACACTCCTCACCAAATTACAGAATTTGTAAATAAAAATACCATTTTTGATACAAAACATTTAACTCAATTTCCAACCCCAACATTCAACCTCCAATTCCAATAAAATATTACTTCTTCTCTGGCGCCTCCTCCCCACAACTAGGAAGATCATAAATAACAAATCCACTTTTTAAAACAATATTTTATTTTAGTTTTGATTTTACACTATGTTTCCATTGGCAACAAACACTACACAACACTGATGAGCAATGGATTTGTATTAAGACTGAACAAATATCACATCTGAAAACAGATTTCCGCAGTCAGAGGAATCTTGGCTGTCAGGGAGACATCAGGAGACACTAGGCATTGTTGCCAACATCTCTATCATAGATCATTTGGTCATTAAGCCAACCTTCTTCGAGATGAAACGTGCCTCTTTATGAGCTCAAATGAAAGCTAAATAAATGTACAACAAATTCACTATCAGTGACTTTCCTCATAGAATTAGTACTTTCCTCAATATTTGGAATTAGGCATAAAACAAAAATTGTTTTTTTTTTGAAAAAATTGCTAATATTTAAAGAGCTGTTTGTCGGTTCAGATTGGGCTGGTATTGTAGCACTTTCAAAACAGAAATAATAACTTTTTCTTTAGTTCGCATATTTTATAAGATACTCAGGAAACACGAAACAAGTGCAAATATTTCCTTTAGTATAGCGCAACTCACTCAGGTCTTTTGAAGCTGTAAAATCAGTTTCTTATTATTGGGAAAGGATCTAACTAAAAAAAACAAACAACTATGTGCTACAGCAGCACATACTATCTCACATTATTTTTAACTGCGCTCTATGATACTACTACATAACTTTGCAAAAGTGCTTTCAACTGGTGAAATTTTTTCCCACCCAGAGACTTGAACTCAGCCCTTCGAGTTAACTCACCACAAGCTTACTTCTCCGCAATTGAAATGCAGCGAGTTTTGAACTCAAGGTTGTAATTTTGAAATGTTAACTTTTTGCAAATTTTTGAAAATACAAAGAGTTTGCCGAAAATGAGTCTAGCACTATTTTGTTCACTGCACTAAACTACATATGAGGAGAAAATTAAATGAAAATAATTGCAGCGATTTTTGAGAAAAAAATTATTTTAAAAAAATAAAATTGCCTGTATTAAGCGCAAAATTGCACGAAAATTGCTCATATTTTCAAAAAATTCAAGCATGACATTATTACAAGATCTTTCATTAAAAATCGATTTCATTAAGGAAAAGGATCTCTATCTTGAATATTGTAGTTGTAGAAGATGGACAAAAAAATTGCAAGTTTGCAATTTTTGGAAAATTAGGGATTTTAACGACCATGAGACCTGCACCTCTACTATGCATAAAACTTTATTTCTGTAAACGTGTTAAATCCCTGATAAAAATTATGTATGAATACATTTTAAAATTTACAACAATGACAAAGGAATGGACACATTAGTCAGACTCAGTCGTACATTGTACCGTACATGTTTACGCATTATTGACCTATAGTCTAGAGAAAAAGAAAATTGCAAAATTTGGATGCTGTACTTAGATCTAAAGGTCTACAAAAGTCAAACTGATTAGCTCACTTACAGACTATTTTTCCATAATTAAAATTATTTTTTGTGTATTTACAAATTACTTTTCAAGTTTTTGCAAAACCTGATATATATTTGCCAAATATACCAAAATAGTTGTACATTTACATCACGTTTTCCCTTAATTAAATTTTACTTTTGAAATGGTGTTACTTGAAATTGTCATGTCTGGACATTTGGAATTTGGAAAAATAGTCAAGGAGTTAATTTCAGTTCCCCAAAAAATTATGGACTTGTTACATTGAGTGCGTTTTGAGGTTACTTTATAATCTTTATGAAATCATATTAAATGTATTAACTTTGTATGTTACTAAATGTATCTTAAACTTTTCAAAAATATTAAGAGACCTGGAAAGCCTGCTAAAAGTCTTCAAATTTATTATTCATGAACCTGCAAGTGTTTTCAATGAGCACACATTTTTTTCTGCGCTGAGACTGGAACTCAGGTCTATCATGGTAACCCACCAAGAGCATTACCATTACACCAGGCAGTCGCTCTGACATACTCACTTGTGTCAATACTTAAAAATAAAATTCACTCTCCTTATTTTCAACACACAATTCTCAAAAATTTAAAACAACAAAAGTGTCCCTTGAGTTTTCCTTTAAAAAAATTTGGAGCAGTTTTTTAGCATTTTTTATACTACGTATTAATTTCAAGGAGAAATTTGGCAAAAACTTCCTGTTTTCTCAAAAAAATGTGTATGACCTTTTTAAAGAGATGATTTTTTTAACAGATTGTGCTTAAAGCAAAAATCTCTGTCTTCAATTTTGTAGTTTTAAAATGTTAACTTTTGGCCATTTTCAAAAATACAGAGTTTGCCGAAAATGTGACAAGCACAACATTTTTATTGTTTTTTGATAGATGCAAGCCTTTTTGGAGCCATTTTTGAGAAAAAACATATTTATTAAAAATTTAAGCAACTTTTGACCAAGGATACCTTTTAAAGATTTTGTTAGTTGCCTAGGTACTTGGAAAATCTAAAAACAAAAAAACAATTTTGATATCGACTGAAAAATGCAAATATTTGATGTTAATCTGCAATGTCTCATGCCTCAAAATACAACTATATTCACATTCTTAGGGCGTCACTGATTATAATACAGCTGACATGACACAAGAAAAAAATAAGCTTTAGTATTCATGTGTGCCGTTTCAGAACTGTCAATTTGCTCTGCTCTAAAACACCATTTATATTTCATACACTCGACAGCAGTATTTTTGCAGCTACAGGCCACTAGTTGACAAGTTCTTTAGTACAAAAGCTGTACATTCAATAATAAAATATATTTTATAGTAGCATTCAATTTTCTTACCTCAGTAAGTGAGCTCCGAGGTTTGAAAGAATTCCTTCATGGTCACAGAAAACAATCAATGCTTTGTGATAACACGCAAACAGCTTATCAAATTGACCACTGCGTTCAAGAAGTCTCCCCCACGTGGCTAAAAAGAAAAAATATATTTTTCAACAGTCCACTATGATCTAACAGAACAAAACTTACTCATTTTGATAGGTTACCAAAATAAAGAAACAAGTGAAGAAATAAATTGAATCAAAATATTCCTGAATATCATAATGCCAAAAATAAAAAAAATGTCACATTTAACATTTATATGGGAACGATTCAACATTCTGGCAATCTTCACTCATATTTGTATTTGAAATATCATGAATCAAGAATGAAGAAAAAATTACAACAATCTTCATGGTTAAAAAGGTATATTACAGATATGATTCATGCTTGGAAATGAGAGCAGCTTGTTAAAATTCGTCAGAAACATTTTGTCGGTGCACAAGAAAAATGACATCTCAAAAATTGTTTTTTTGCAGGATAATGATTCTAATCTAAGCAGAACCATTTATTTTGTGGTTAAAGTGTTTTACTCCTTATCCTCACTGTCTTGTGAACTTATTTATGAAATTTGATCTAGTAAAAATAGTCTACTATCAAAATATGCTAGCTTATTTATGACAAAAATACAATTTTGGTTAAGTGTCACTTTTCTTCCAACAGTCTTACCTACTGTAATCGTAACAATCCCAATACCTAAATACAATTAGAGAAGAATGCAACATGAATCTCTTTTAATGAGTTACAAGTTCTATAAATTATTTCTACTTCAATGCCACCACATCTAACAATGATGGAGACAATTTTTGAGTGAAGGAAGTATGCATAGGCAAGAGGGTGTGAGACTATTGTGCCAATTTCATTGGATTCTCGTATATACTACAGGATCAGTTTAAAATATTTTCTTCGTAATCTAACAGATTCTATCAATATATCATAAAGAAAAAATATTTCCATTTATTGTAACAATTTATTCCAATTTCTTCAATTTATATAATATATATACATAATTGCACTTGTTAATATGTTGTAGTATGAGACTAAATAAAAGAAATGATTTCAGTAAATACTGAAAGAAAGAAAGAAAGAAAAAAAAAAAGAAAAGAAAAAAGAAGACAAAAAAGGGGAAAAGAAATGTTATGTAAAACACTAAGTTATCATCGTCTACCCCTATGGTAATGCTGCCTCAAGTGCCCTCCCGCATCTTTAGCAATATGAAATTTATGAAAGATGATGAGTGCTGTTCTTCTGGTGTGAGTAGATCTCAAAAGAAGCAAAACAAAAGCAATTGGTTAAGATCTCTTTCATTACCGGTCAGAATAATGCATGCATCTCTAGCAAATTCCTCTGCTCACATCTTGAAAGATGTTTAAAATGCAGGTGGGATACAAGAGCTCCACACAACTTGGGCTCTGATCGCTCGCTAATCCTGAAGAATGAATGTGTGGAGCCACCTTTAGGCCAATGATAGTAGCTTGGTCTCTATTTCTGCTGGTTGGATATGCAAAATGTTAGCAAATACGACTGTGTACAGCTCCCTTTGTGTGTTTACCTATCCAACCAGCCAAAAGCATCAAAAGAAATACAAATTACAAAGATTATCAATTTGGCATTCTGTTTCCCTTTCTGACACAATTATAATGATTACGCATTTACTGTACCAGCTTAGAATGTTATTTATGTTTTTGGATTGATGAATATACATCAATTATCAAAAAAGAATATTGATAGTTAATAGGTGTCAAAAAAAGGCTGTAAAATCTCATTTATTCAACTTTCTCAGCCTTTTTTAAAGGTCATAATCATGAAAATGAATGTTTCACTTCAAACGAATTATTGGGCTAAATAATTGTCAATGTCAGAATATTTGCAAATCATGATTTAAGTAGATGTGTATCATGTGTATGTACATTGATTATTTGATAACAAACACAACATAATCATGGAATAACAATCTAAGTAATCAATCTACAGTCAAATTCACGAAAAGGAGCATGCAGTACTCATGCTTGTCCTACAAAATTCATAAATCATAGCATCACTATTATTTAGCTCAAAACTTAAAATATATTTTGTTTTTAAAAAAAGTAATACTAACAATAAAAAAATCCAAAATCGGGATGCAATAATTGCGAAATTAATTTTTGAAACAATTTGTAATTTTTGCTCTGAATCTTTTTTTCCACGTTCACAATTAACTTTAATTGACAAAAAAATTCAATTATGACCAATTTCAGTTAAAATTCTGTAAAAAAAAGGACAACATTTTATGTTTTCTGGATGATACAAAGTAAATAAAAACGGCGGCGATGGTGTAACGGTTAGCGTACTAGACTGTTGTACCCAAGTTGGCGGGTTCAAACCCGTGGAATTTTAAGGGCGAAAAAATCCCTCGTACGCCTTCCTTCGGAGGGGAAGTAAAGCCGGTTGTCCCATGTTCATAGATTTACTTGCATGTAAAAGATCCTCAAGCCTAAATGACGCCTCTGAGCTAAATTCAAATCGCCTGTTTCTCGCCCAAGAAATACCTCCTTTCTCTTCTAGTTGGTGAAAGGAGCGTAGCGAAATTTGCGTGGTCAGACGGAAGAGCGGGCCTAATCGCCCGAGTCTCGCCACGTAAAATAAGGCAAATTCAATTCAATAAAAACATTTAACAAAAGATAATAAGATGTTAATATGAAATAAATGGCTTACACACAACGAAACTTATCCATTTTTGTTTTCAAGACATAATGAGTCTTACAATTTTTCACACAATTATTTTGTGATGAACATAAATTAATACATGCAGTCGACTCAGGTTACAGTGAACCCTCGATTATAGTGAAGCTGAGTCGCTGGTCCAGTTTCTCTTACATTACAAACAAGCATAAGAAGACTCAGTTATAGTGAACCTGAACCTTGACTATAGTGAACGTAGGAAATACCAAGGTCCTGGAAAAGATAACTGGCGGCGACGAGAGATTGCTTACTTCAGTATCAATCTTTGTGTTACTTGATATTCCGCGGGTCAGAGCGCGTTGAGTTCTACGTAGGCGACAGGAAGCACGCGACTGCCACAGCCTGGCGATATTCGCCGTACCGCGTGGAAAAGCAATCAGTTTCATTAGCCGCTTGCGACATCTCGCTACAGAAAGCATCTCCGATATTTTTAGGTGAATAAAAGGGCCTTCAGAGGTGGAACGTTATTCCAACAGAGCAAGAGGCATTGAAGGAAGTCAGAATGCATTACGATACTTAGAGGCAGGCGCGGATCCTCGGGGAGAGAAATGAGGAAAATACCCCCTCCTAAATTTTTCACAAACAATAGTTAATTAACAATTTTAAATTGTCACGAAACTTTCAGACAAAAATATCTTCGGATAATCATTAAAACAAATAAAATCATATCACAATCTGAGTGTAGCCTGCGACATTTTGCAAAATCGTTAATTTAACACATTTGACGAAAACATTTTGAATTTCCCCTCCCAAAATTTGTCTCTGGATCCACCCCTGCACAGAGGGTAATATTTAATCAATTATGGAGAGAGCACGAACTGTGGAGAATGATCTAGAGAAATTACCAATGAAAAAGTACGAAGCAAAGCCAAGCAAACAATTAAACAGAAATTGATTTGTAAAGGATAACTAAAGATGTTGAAATTTTCAGTTCTTGCTGTTAATGTATTTTTCATCTCTATATTAATAAAATCAATAACTATGGAGAAATTCTATTTAATTTTGATATCCTCCAGTATAGTGAACTGAAAGTGTTAGTCCCCAGAAGTTAACTATAACCAAAGTCAACTGTATTCGTAATCAAAAATTACAAAATAAGGAATTATATTGTCAGTTTGTATTAATAGTTAATATTTCAAGAAAATACTAGAAACTTACACCCACAGTTTTAAAGTTTCATATTTCAGTAAAGCTTCAATTATTCAAGATATATTTTTCAACTAGCTTCTGGTACAAATTAAGCATACCTAGAATGCCTTCAAGAGTGGACTTGAATCTGTTCTTTTCTTCTGGAAACACCTCCAATAAAGTTGTGACTATGGTAAATGCTTCTTGTAGTTCATCTTCTGCTAAAAATGTCAATGGTGTATGCAATAGCTCTTCTACCTCTGTACTCAAACTCATGGTGATGTCTAAAATAAACCAGTCTTGTGTTACACTCTTCAAATGAATACAAAATGAATACAATAATCTTTACAGCCACATAATATAATATGCACAAATAATAACAATTTTGTAATTAACTATAGAATTATAGATTTCATTTAACAAATACATTATTACCATTTATATAAATTGCCAAAAATCAATAAATGAATAAAACAAAATAAAATAAAATTTGTTGTGGCTATCAATATTCCATTTATATTTCAAGATTTTCAATTTTAGACACCTACTGTAAACTCTAATTCCACCCCAGTCTCACGTAGTGTCTGGGGTTTTGCTGCCTACCCCAATTTCACTATATTTTACGAACAGTTAAAGATCCACGACAGGACCACAAGGGCCATAGGCCTCGCACCCTTCAAGACCATTTTTTTAAAATTATTTAACTCAATTAATATGAAATAATCATCATACGTACATCTCATCACATTCAAACAGTATTCTCATTATGAATATTATCTTACATTTTTTTTTATTGTAGTACTAAATTTTAAAAAAATAAACTATATCAAAAACATTTATGGGGATTTGAACTATATTTGGCCCCACCTCTTGAAATACTTTCTGGGTCCACCACTATTTATGGACCATTCCACTCAAGTACAAACAGCACATCTGCCCCTGTACTTGCCTGTACCAAGGTACATATGACACCCATAACACCTGTTGTTGTACTACACGTTTGACTTCGGGGAACAAGTCTACATGCCGGGTTTATAAATTAAGTACTATAACCTTCCCTTTACATATTATTTGGCACCATAGGAGTTAAATATTTTATTGATTCACATCACTGCCCTAAAATATTCACGATTAAAATACTCAAGAATAATGTACATTCAAATGAATGGTAAAAAAAAAGATACACTTAATTAAATATTAGAAACGTCTTACATGCACTTTCAAAACCACACAGAATTTACCTCCTAGAATGTTGCCGTCCTGATACAGACGATGTAAACATCAGTGCCGCCAATAGCTGCAAAAGGAAACTGTCGTTAAGTTCATATTCAGATCTAGAAGGAAATAAAAATACTATAATATTATTAAAAATGTATTTCATTGGCCTTCATAATACACTGAGGCCCTCGACAGGGATCAGCCGATTATTTTCCAATAAAGCATGTATTGTCAGAAACGATTTGTGAAATCAAAGCACATAGGTGTGTTATCAAAGTCAATTGGTGAAATTGTGAGTACGTGTGCAGAGAGTATTGAATACGTGTTCTCGATGTGCTCGATAATACTATTGGATTGTATTGTATAATACGATTGTGATGATTGTTGCGTATCAAGTGAATTTACTTTCGATACTCTCTGACTTTTCGCGAGTTGGATCCACGTTTCGGCAAATATTTGGTGTTTGTTAGTTACGTCAAAAATTTTGTGATCGTTGTTCCTACTTGCGAATTAAGATGTATGTATAACTAACATAACTGTGCGCGAATCGCTATGGATATAAATACATTAAAAAGTTTAAAACACTTGATAAAAGAAGTTCTTGTTTGACGCATACCACATATTTATACATTGTTGGAATTCCTCTTTCTACACACATAAGTAAAACTACACAAGTACTGCACGATGGCAGAAAAGCACATACTATATTTTGTCGTAACATTGTTTATGTTACAAATAATATATGGAATAGATATTAAAGGTTTTGATGATACAGTAATCTTCAAAGTGAATTGGCCTGGACGTGAAGTGAAAGAATTTTTGGTGAGTCAGAATATTTTTTGTAACTTTTGCTCCAAGTAAATATGTTATATTTACTTCCAGTATAATACTAAAGATACATTACAACCATATTTGTTAATCTTATCGTATCTTCAAAAAAAAAAAAAAAAAAAATTTTCTGGAGAAGCAAATAAGGATATTTTCCATGTGTTATTTTATTCCTTCAAAATATATTTCATGAAGCATTTTTTTTTTCCAAATTTGCTATTTAAAATCTGTTTGCACTCCTGGATTTCAACAGAATAACAGATAACATATTTCAATGTTATTGACATATGTCAATAACAATATTTTATGTATGATATGCCAATTGTGTCATTTTCCCATTTGTCTAGCCTTGCTTAAAATGTATTAACTTCATTTGTAACAGTTTATCAATGAAGATTACCAATCACATTAATACAAAAATGCTTCATGAGCTAGCGAGTTGTCTTTTTTCTCAAATTTGGAAGTGACACTAGAGTGAGAACAATTTTCCATGAGGAATATTATGTTTTTTTAGTCAAATGTCACAATCACAAATTTTGCAGTTGTGCCAGATTCATATTGGAGAAACGATATGTAACAATTTGCAATTGTATTTTGTAAACAATTGTGTAAAATTCAAACATTTAGGAACCAGATGCAGAAACATTGATGGTGAGAACAGAACAAAATGAACAGTACATGTGCTTGCTGCCAAAAGTTCAGGAGAAGGAAAAGGTGAGTTATGCAATAGAAATTATTTTTTAATAGTATTTTGCTCTTTCGGGGAAAATTCATTTTGAAAAGGGCTTGATAATTTTCTTTCACATGGCGAGAAAAAAATCAGATATCAAGTTGTGTTGGTTAGTGAAAATATTTACATATATTCAAAATACATATAACTCTTAACCACTGACGTGAAATTACTTCCCAAATAGGAAGTAGTCGCTGGGAAAATACCTTTTTTAGGTCAATCATGAATTTTGATATTTGTTTTTTTTTGAATGAGGAATGGGATGTAATAAAATTTTACAGGTATAATTTATTCTCAGATCTCTCTTCTACTATGACTAGACCTCGGATTTTAGGACAAATGCCTATTTGGTTCCTCTAGGAGGTTGTGAAAAATAATTGCAGATGTTTTACGAATCATGACAAATATAACTATTGAAAGAGTCTAATAGTATCGAAAATGTCTTAAAACGGCGGTTGATGCCTATTTTAATATTTTTTCCCTAAATCTGCCCAAAACAATTAATAATCATATTTTCATTGCTAATTTTTTTTAAAAATTTGTTTTCTCAAAACGCAAACACTTCTACAACTACTCGCAACTACAACTACCGCATATCCCGAAACGTGAATATTCGCTGATCGAATACGCAATCGGCCAGAAATCTCTGACCCAACGCACCAAACATACGGAGGTCAGCATGCAAATACATTTAAAGAGGATGTTTTACGCTCGTCTCCGATCAGCATGCCCTTCTTAGATATCGCTTCCATTATCGTTGCAAATACGCTGTTAATAGGTTGAGAACGAGAAGTGTGAAATAATTAATGAAATGAAAGTGAAAAAATAATGTGATTGTAGTCATTCCCTTAAATGTAAAACTATTTGACAAACCTAAAGAATAACACGCATCCAATTTAATACTTTAGTCAGAAACGTGACTTTTCATATCTATTTTTTTTCTCTCTTCTTCTTGATTTAAGCGTTTTGTGACCTATTTTAAGTGCCTGAAACGTCACATTTCATGCTTAATAGTGCATAATTTCATAATTTTGTTACCAATTTTAGGTGCCTAAATCATCAATTTTTTGTGCCTAAAATTCAGAGATCTGGAGATAACACCCAAAGACCGAGACAAAACACAACCAGTGCTACAGAATGGCTCAGGCTTTACCGTATTAGTTTTCTTTTTCTTTTGGTCTCGGCTAGCTGTACGAGCTGGCACATACTCTAGCCAGCTGCTAACTATTGCCGCCCAAAGTACACTTTTAAAAAAATATCCTTATTTTCGATTACCTAATAGTAGAAGGAAATATTATTTTAAGAAAATATTATTAAAATAACAGTAAAACCTCGTTCTAAATGGCAATTTTCTTCGGAAAATTTGAAGCCGTTTTTATGAAAATGGGACTTAAGCGCCACTGTAATTTCGAAATTTGAAACTTTTTCACTGAAAATTGTCGACTTTCCGAAAAACTTAATTAGGTTTCATTTGAAGACCAGTAACTCACAAATACGATAGTGTTTACATATTGCTGGAAATGTGCATGTTAATTGCGTGAGAGATTTTTTAAAAAAATGTAATTTTTGAAAAAAATACAACAAAACGTAATTAACTTTAGTCATATTAAAGAGTGCATTTAGAACAATCCATTCGAAAAGTTTGAAGAAAAAAATTAGAGCCATTTTTGAGAAAATAGCGTTTGAGCGTTTCTGAAAATGCAGAATTACCGGGTCCAGCCACCATGCCAGATCTACAGGGGAATATCCATTCAGGAAAAAATCGTTCGTACGGTTTAGGCGGTAGGTGTGTTAGACAACAGGACAGACGGACGTTTTGGAAAGAAAGAAAAAAAAACTTTTCGGTATCAAGGGTCCCCAAAACGTGAATTTCCTTCGAAATCGATTTTCCAGAGCATTACATAACTTTCTCACTACTACGTATAATACTCCGTATATGCGTACGTGTACGAGTAAAAATGTGGAGAGGTTTTTGAGAGAAAAGTGTTTAATAATTGCTTATATTTTTTGCGAAATTAAACTAAAACTACTCAAATTTTCGAAAAACTGAACATGACATAACTTCAAAGTCTTTCCTTAAAGAACAGATTTCATTAAGGAAAAAATCTGTGTTTTGAATATTCTAGTTGTAGGAATACCCTCCCCCGATTCACTTTTCAATTTTCGAAAAATCATGGATGTTAGGGAACATACGACCTGCGCCGACTCTACGTCCTTTGTAACCGAGGACAAAGTTTATTCAACAAATTTGGAGCCATTTCGGAAACATTTTTGAAAATGTTTTGGAGGCTCCATGTAAAGTGCCTGGATTTGAACCTCCCAAAGTCTTGAGTTCGTTCTGATAGATCGGGGAAAATCAATTTTGGAGAAAACGGGCTGTACGGTTTAGGCGCTAGCGTTCACCACAGACAGCCGTAATTAAGCAAAGACGACGTTATCTTTGCTTAATTACTAATATATTTATATTAGTAAAATCAATATTATGTCCCAATTCCATACGATGTGTAGATATAGAATTCTCTCTCTGTGAGACTTCATTAATATTCCTGATATGTTCTGACACTCGTAATTTTAATTTTCTTTTAGCCTGTTCAATGTACACTTTAGGACATTGTTGGCATCTTATTCTATAAATTAAATTTTGTAAGTCAAATATCTTAAATTAGCCTCAATATGTTTTCTATTACTTACAATATTGCCACTCTGATTGAGGTATCGCCAAAACATGCATTCTGAATGCAGCAACCGATTCTTCAGGCGTTGAAAAACGTTGACCTCTCAGGGTTTTTTTACGTACGGAAATAAAACGTCATTCTGTGCCAAGTCAGGACTATATGGAGGATGGCTCATCAAATCGATGTTTTGGGTGCTCAAAAATGCAGTTCTTTGAGCCGATGTGTGAGAGCTCGCATTGTGGTGGAGAAGAAGTGATCCGTCTTCGGCGGTTGGTTTTCCTGATTTCTTGGAAGACAGCTGGCAAACATATCGTTGTGTACCACTCAGAATGGATTGTTTTGCATTGTTCTAGTGGTACGGTTGCATGTCCAGTTTTTCCGAAAAACAGGCGACCATCTGTTTGGAAGTGCTTCGTGCGCGAACAACTTTTGTTGAACTTTGCTCATCTTGAAACTCCCATACAGTCGACTGCTGTTTACTTTCAGGCTCATACGCGTAAATCCACGATGTCTTAGACGTGTTTCGAAGTACCGCGATCGTATTTTTTGAACATTTCTTTCGACCAATCGAAACGAGCCCTTTTTTGAGCGATTGACAAATTGTGTGGGATACAACGCGAACAATTTTTTTTGACAGTCTAATGTTCATGCAACATTGAATGTATGCTGGTCCCACTAATGCCTAAGGTTGTCTCAGGATAGGTCACATGACGATCTTGCAATATCAGTTCACGCACAGCATCAATGGTTTTCGGAACAGCAACTGATTTTGGACGACCTTCGCGAAATTCGTCTTGGAGTGAACTACGATCACGATTGAATTCACCATACCATCGATAAGCACTGGTCCTCGATGGAGCTTCATCGCCAAAAACTGAATTAAGTTCATCCATGCACTGTTGCTGAGTTAATCCACGTCGAAAGTTGTAAAAAAATAATCGCACGAAAATGTTCACGATTTAATTTCATTTTTGGGCCAAGATGAATCTTTTACGTTACAGTAAACAACACAAATAGCGCTCGTATGTCAAAACGTTCTGAGTACGTATAACCTCAAAACATCCAACTTTACGATAGAGCTGTCAGTTGCCAGATTGCCACACTAGGGTTGCCAAATCCCGAATGCAACCTTCGTAAGTTCTTAGAATAAATGAATTTTATTCTTTGTTGCAGTGTGTTTGTACACACACTTTGAAGGGTAATTGTTTAAAATTAGGATTTCATGAACTTTGAGTAAAATATTATTGATTAATTTTGGTGCAAAAAGTGTTAAGACTTTGTCAACTAAATTGTAAATAATAGCCCTTGTCATCACCAATACATGCTGGACTGTCTAAGTTGTTTGTCTTGCCATCCTTTAGTGATTGGTAAATTATAACTGGTTGTTTATAATACCATGGGTACCTGTCTGGACACTTTAATTTTTTTAAGACTATCTCGTGTGACGTATTTTTTCGATTTAAAGTTTTTGGTAATTAATATTTAGCGTAAGCTTCATATGACTTATAATAAGTAATCATTAAATAGTTTCTCATTTGATCAAATCATAATTGCCAATAATTCTTTTACACTAATGATATTACGAATTACCTAAAAAAATCTAGCCTGTTAATGAGGAAAATAATAACCTTGAAACTTCTATAATAAATACACATGTACTTTAATTTTTTATTTATTTTCAATAATAATAATAATAATAATAATAATAATAATAATAATAATAATAATATGTTCTAAATACATGGACCAAGAATACATAAAAAATTAAATTACAGAAATATGGTATTGGATAATTCATTAATTGTTTTTTATTTTCTCCATATTTTGCAGTGATAATAGCAAGTCAGTGAGGTTTATTTTGAATGTTTCATCTTTTATTATAAAATCGGCACTAAATTTTGTTTGTAGATGCAGAACTGTTCATGCGATTACAATTTTACACAACTGTAGAAATTATTGTATGCTCTTGTTCTTTGTTTTATTTGTAATCAAAGCAATTCTGTGTAAATTAAAACCTTTAATTTTTGTAAATTAATCCATCTTCTTCTATGTAACAAGAAATAGAGTGTAAAATAAGAAATAAAGAAGATTCCAAAAATGCCCAAATTTTAATAAACAAAACTTTATGTAAATGTAATGCAGAAATTGTTCCTTGGTAGTAGAACTAGTAAATGTGATGTATGACGGCACTGCAGAAATTGTTTTGGAATATTTTAGAGTATTAAAAATAAATTGATAAGTGGGGGAAAAGTACAAACTGAGAATAATAACGAGTTTTGTTGCAATATACGCCATTTAATAAATCTTTA